CTACCACCTATAAGAGATAATTCTGTAAAATAATTTAAGCTGAGTTAATAATAATTCTGCCTAACACATCTGCCAGGTTCTTAAATTATCTGCATATGTACTCAGCTACAAAAGCTCTGCTGTGATATTCACCAGCTGAAAAGCATCAGTGCCACCCCTGACACTAGAAAATGACAAGAGGTTTTGGGCATAAGAATTCAGAGGGAATCTTCCATTTGTTTTTCAGCTTCTAACAAAGCTGGCATTGAGGAGTGGGCCATTCTACAGCAGAGCTTGGAAAGAGGAGTGAAAATCCATGGGAAGCAGATCTTGCATCAGCCCAAGGCAGCACCCAAGAGCAAAGCTCTGGGGCATGAGCCTTTAAGCACCTGCCCCTGGTGCTGCCCCGAGGGAACCAGGAGAGCAGAAGAGCTAAGAAGAAACAAAACCTTAGCTTATTCTAAGTTACCTTGTTAGCTAACAGGTCATACCTCACCTGTCTGGGGAGGAAAGCCCCATTAGGTAGACAGAGTGTTTACCTGAAAGATCAGCTTATGGTATCTTGGTATCTTGGAGAATGTAGATCCAAGGCTGTCAGAGCACTTTGAGGAGTCCCTAGTTCACCCTCAGGGGGCGCCACTAAGGCTTGGATTGCACCTGACACACAGTAAGAGACAGCACTGCCTGCAGCCACCATGGTTTCCATGGGGGCAGAGAAATGACAGCTGCATCTGCGTTGCAAGTCCCTGGGCAGATGGGAGCATCTGCTCAGCAAAGACAAAAATCCTCTTTCTACAGGGCCCAACAGATGTGGATCCTAAAGGTAAAAAGATCTTCTTGTAAAATGCAGAGGATAATTTTATATACAAAATTGAGAGCAAGAACAGGCGGGCTGACTTGAGCTTGCTGCAGAGCCTTGCCTGGGCCCTCTGGGAAGATTGAGCCAGTGGACCCTTAGGAGCCTCTTGGTTTTCTTCTGAAGTGCCAGACTGGCCCAGAGGCATCTCTGGAGAGCAGGGAGGCATCATACTCCTTCCATGTTCCTTTCTCTCAACAGAAAATGCATACTCCTGTCTCAATAGGAGGGAAACACCTGCTTCTTGTACCTCCCTGAAACGCAACGTTCAAGTTCTTAGAAGGGTCTTTAGGCTCTCAGCCCTAATGTGTGAGACTGGAAAATACCTCCTTTCTCCCAAAACACACACACACACACACACACACACACACCCCTCCCTGTCAGCCTTGCCTACAGTAGGTTTTCAGTGTTTCTTAGGGCAGGAGATCCCATAAACAAGGTTTTCAGTGAGGATTTCAGAGGTGCAAGCTCTTCTGATTGTGGCTGGGGACAGCACCTGGAGGCCCAAGAGATTCAGACGAGAAACAGAGAGCACTTGGAGGGAACCCACATGGCCAGTGGAAGTCTCAACCTCATCACAGGGCACACAATAAATTAGTAACCCCCAAATAGCCTAAAGCACAAAATGGGGTACAGAAAATGGTCAGCTGGGTACAGGAATAAATATTAGACCTTTCTTGATATTCGATTTTTACTTCCTTCTGTAACAGTTTGTATGTTTTATAAATGTATGTGATACATTAGTTTAGTTGGCATATGAATATATTTTATATAAATTTTTACATCTGCATTGGGTGTTGTGCCCACAAATGAGGAGGAGCGGGAGATGTGTGATCCCTCACGTAGGATGCTGAGAGGCAGGTTATAGGAAGAGCTCAGTCTCCTCTCCTCAAGCTCTCTTATTCTCTGAGTTGACATTCTACACACTCTCAGTTAGACTGACCAGTTGCCCCTAAGATGCTCCCAAATAATTCCAGTCACTTGGCTGCAAACTAGGATAAGTCTTTGTCATGTGGAGTGAAGCCACATCAATGGCATTCGCTCTCCTTGAGAGAGTGACATATAGAGATTTTCCTGTACATTAAAAAGCCTGTCACAAAAATGTACCAGCAAGAGAAAATAAAGATTAGACAAAGTACAGCAAAACAATGTGACTGTACAAACACCCAGAGGAGAAATCAATTAGCTCTAAGAAAAAGAGGAATCATCCTGCAGCGATTCAACCACAGGCAAAATGAGATCAGAAATGAGTGAAAACAGTGTGTCTCTTTTTTTAATAAGTAGGGATAAGTCACTGGGGCCTCCTTAAAGGAAAATGTCTTTTCAGTGGATTGAGGTTTGCACAACACCATGAGATTTTTTTTTTTTTTTGAGGCAATGTTTTCATTCTTGTGGGCATTCAATTCCAGTGGCTAGAACTTGGAACAGTTTCTATTTGGCAAAAGCAACGTATTATGATCTGTAAGTGCATGAAATAAAACCTCATCTTACCTTTGTAAGAAACACTCTGGAGGTACTCTTTGACTTGAGAGGAAGTAAATGAGTTTAAAAGCATTAAGAAATCTGGGTAGGTTTTGTCGTAGTCACTTTGGTACGTGGTCTGTTTCTTTGTGTGCTCTTGGTTCCTCAGGAAGCTGTGCAGCACAGAAGGCACTACAGAAATACACAGGGGAGGACAAACTGGGAGGCTGGCACCCAAGCACAGCAGTCTTACCCTTATTGTTTGAAAATGACCCTGACAGCCCCCAGCCCAGCTTTGAGCTTAGGCAGTATCCTTCATGATGCTGGTCACTAAGGCTCTGTATTAAACCAGTTTTTCCATTGACCATGGCTAAGCAGAGCTACAGGGACTTCCAGCCTGTTGCTGCTGGAAGGGGCAGTGATGGGAGACAATGACCAGAAGGGTGAGTTTGACCGTCACTTTCAGAAGAGAAGTTTTCCCTAAACTTGACTCTTATGCAGGTCAGTGTGTTATGATGGTGAAGGAAACTGAAATATTTCACCCCAAATTACATGTCTTTGATATACTTGGAGATGGCTGTTGAGAAGGCCTGCAGACAGAGGTAGCCCTGCAGACAGAGGTAGCCCTGCAAAGTTGTCTTTGAGAGTGGGGTGACCTGCATCCGTAGGGAATCTGCACTGATGCAGCCTGGCTTTCCAAGGCCTTCCCTTGTCTGGATCTAAGAAAAGATGACCTAAGATCAGACTTTAGAGGTCTAAAAGAAACCTTTACCATCATTCTCTCTGAGGGCTGCTACCACTGAACAAGACCACCTTTGCTAGCCAGGCCTCCTCTTCTCCCCCTCCCATAACCTGTTTAACCAGCTCTTTCTATAACCTCAGGATAGTATAAAATCATCAACCCTCCCATCATTTCTTTGAGTTCTTATATTTTGCTTGACTCCCGTGCATGTTAATAAATTTATATGCTTTTTCTCCATTTAATCTGCCTTTTGTCAGCTGATTTTTCAGCAAACTTTCAGAGGGTAAAGAGGAAGTTTGCCCTTGGCCGCTATGATGGTGACATTCACTGCCTGCTTAATAAACAAAGGTCCTCATAGAAGCTTCTTTTTCTTTCAGGACATCTCCTGTGCACATTTGGGATGGCACAGTAAGGGACCTCCCTCCAGAGACCTAGGCATCTTCGGATGAGCATTGTGGAAGAACGATGATGTTTACAGTCATGGCTCATCGTCCATTTGGACTAATGGGGGTATGAGGTGCAGGCAACACCCAAATCACTTATTTTTGATTATGAATATTGCTCATTTAATGTGAGTTCTGATATTCAAGAAACTACAATGAAAAAAGTAATAAAGTCACGATGTAAAAACCAAATTTTCACAATTTGCCCAATCTTTTTAAACCTTAAGAGCAGCTTCCAGCTCCAGGGATCCCCTTTAAGGGGGTCATTGAGCAAATGGAGGGCCCAGACTGGTGAGGGGATTTGACGCTGCACCCTAAGAAGAGTGTTTGTAGGACCTGGAAATGCTCTAACTGGAAAAGAGAAGACTTAGGCTTAGAAGGCATATGGCAAGGTTTTCATAGAATAATAGATTTATACTAATTAACATCCATGGGAAGAAGGGGAACCAGGGGCTAGAAGTTTAGCAAGGAATATTGCAGCTGCTACACCTTCTACCCAGTTGGAGCATCAGACAACGAGGGGGCATGGGGCTACCCTGAAGTGGATACGCAGGGGCACTGTCACCCCTTGGCAAGGATGGAGTCAGGAAGATTCACACACTACATGAGGCTCTGGACGAGGTGATTTCTAGGCCACCTTCTAACCCCGAGGTGCTAAGCGTCAATTCTGTGGTGATTGTCTCAGGTACTACTTGATCCCAACTCCATGCCAGGAATGAATCATGTCTCAGACTGACACCACGTTTTCTGCTAAACTAGTAGCTTGGAGGTGGCTTGGTCACGGAATTTTTGAAAACTTTCAAGGGATGCACATGTGGATACACTTCCAGTAGAAAATTGAGACTAAATTGGATTCCCGCCTCATCTCTTTCTGTCACTTTACAGTAACTGCATCCTTCCTCTCATTTTTTAAAAGGAGGAAGTATCCCCTAATCCCAACCACTGCCCCTCCCCAGCAGGGATGACTCTCATTTCTTGGCCTAAGCAGTCAGTCATCTTCTGAAATGTACTAGCTCCCCGGGTTCCAGGTTGGGAGCCGCAGCGATGAGGTTCTGACTTCATGCCAGAATCCCTGGCTTTCTTCTTGACTATGATGAAAACGGGCTGCCAGCGCCCTCTGTGTTGAGAAGTTTTGGGGCCAGGGATTAGGATCTATGAGGTTGTTTTAGAAACCGCAGCTGGGCTGGGCACAGTGGCTTACGCCTGTAATCGTAGCACTTTGGGAGGCTCAGGAGGCTGAGGCAGGCAGGCAGAGTTTTAGACCAGTCTGGCCAACATGGCGAAACCCCGTTTCTACTGAAAATACAAAAAAATTAGCTGGGCGTAGTGGTGGGCGCCTGTAATCCCAGCTACTTGGGAGGCTGAGGCAGGAGAATTGCTTGAACCTGGGAGGTGGAGATTGCAGTGAGCCGAGATCGTGCCACTGCACTCCAGCCTGGGCGACAAGAGTGAAACTCCACCTCAAAAAAAAAAAAAGAAAAGAAAAAGAAAAAGAAAAAGAAACCGCAGCTGTACTCACGTAGACCCTGAGAAGCAACGGGCAAGCTTGAGTAGCATCCGTATTTGAAACTGAAATCCTGAAGCTCAGGAATTTTAGCTGGAATTTGGTAATTCCTTCGGAATTCAGTGTCTGGAGGTCGAGGAAGTAACTTTTCACATTCCAGAGACACGTGAGAACTTTTCTTAATCTTTTGAGCTGGGGTGGAATGGAAACGGAAGGCAATACTTACTCCTTGTGAACAAAGTAGCTAAACCCACTCTTGCTGTATTTAGAGGTCGGGTCAAGGTGCTCTGTATGAACACTTCAATGAAGAAATAATTTTCCGCTTTATCAGTCACAGGAAGTATATGCTCAAATGATCAGAAGTGGTCGCTAGTGAATGTATTTTTATGTCACGAGTCTGCTCAGTGGGCGCAGAAGACGCTGATCACTCCATGGGGTCTGTCTGGTCCCTGGGGCAGAGGTGGATGTCAGAGAGATTTTGGATAGGGCCAGGTTGCCATATAAAATGTGGGATGCGCAGTTAAATTTGAATTTCAGATAAATAATGACTTTTTAGTGTAAATACTTGCTATCTACTGCATGTCATTATTCAAATTTAACTGGGCATCCCATAGTTTTATTTGCTTAATCTGGCAGGCCTAGATGGGGTGGTGTATATCATCCCCATTATCTGGAAAAAAAAAAAAAAAACATTCGAAGCTTATCCCTTACTGATGGAGGGTTAGGTAACATCACTGGCATTAGTGGATAGCACTACTATTATTTCTTTGAAATATCTCTGCTAAAACATATTCATTAAATATCTGTGAAGCACTGAAGCCAGTGTTACAAACATTATCAGATTACAGAGGCAAGAGTTACAATCCATCTCACTTAGAATGAGTTCGTTCCTGATTCTTGCTACAAAGACTTAGTTCAGAGGCGTATCATATAACACCATCTTTATTCAGAAAGACAAAGATGTCAAAAACATGGATTTCATGAGCAATGTCCAAACAGTGCAAATTACTATTGACACTGAACTCAATTCTCTTCCAAATTAGTTTTCCAATAGATCTTTTCAAAATAAATCCTAATATATATTGTATATCCAACGATTTACAATAGTACCTACTGGTATACATTTTATATCAAAGGATACATAATTGCATCTGCTGGCACCTGAGAGCATTTTTATATTGATTTTTAAAAAATGATTTCTGTCTAGACCAGCAGAGGAGGAGAGGATTCCAGTACATGTTGCCTCTTACTTCAGATAACTCAGGAGGAGAGGGCATAGGTATTTAATAGCCCCTGTAATGACCTCATAAACTGCCCAGACAGAAGGCAGGTTATAGAGGGGAGGAACTTGTGGGGCTCAAAATCAGGGCACCCCTTAAGATATTTTGAAAAACCATCTGGCACTGTTCCTGTAACTTCCATCTATAACTCAGTGCCATGATTCGAATGTGTCCCCGCAAAAGAAAACTTAATCCCTAACGCAACAGTGTTGGGAGGCGGGGCCTAATGGGAGGTGTTTGGGTCTTGGGCACTCTGCCCTCATGAGTGGATTAATGCTGTTATCGTGGGAGTGGGCTAGTTATTGCAAGAGTGGGTTCCTGATAAAAGGGTGAGTTTGGCTTCCTTTCTCTCTCCCACATTCACGCTCTTGTCCTTCCATTTTCTACCATGGGACGATGCCACAAGAAGGCTCTTGCAAGGTGCCAGCATTATGCTCTCGGCTTCCCAGCCTCCAGAACCATGAAACAAATAAATTTATTTCATTATAGATTACCCAGTCTCACATACTCTGTCAAAGCTGCACAAAACAGACTGAGGCGCTTGGTTTTTTCACTAGGAGCTTTATAAGCAAAAACAAATTTCCATTGAAACACTTGATGCTTTCACCTATATCTCTTCCCTAGAGCTACCATTCCATAGTAAATGTTTGCAGTTCCTATATCAGTTCTGTGCTATTTGCCAAGGTTACACATAATTAAATCATCGTCCTACCTTAAGACAATGAGTGTGAATACAAAGATATCTACAGAACAAACAGGTAGGGAATGTGGTAATTCTTGCAACCGTAACATTTGGAACTGTGGATTTCACATGGAAATATGACATCAGAATAACCTGGGAAGGGTCTCTGAGAATACCTCTGCTGACCCTTATCCCAGACATTGAGAAGCTCCAGAAGTGAGCCCCAGGCACTTACACTGTGAAAACAAACTACTCATGTGCTTAAGAATTACTGACGCAGGGCTTTGAATAGGGTGCTACAGGAGCCCAGAGAGAGTATGAGCAGCGGCTGTGTTGGAGGAAGAGGAGGACGACAGGAACTAAAAGGCAGTCACAGTAAGGAGATTTGACAACGGGTCGACACAGAAGCAAAGAGTGCGTAGTGTGTTTGTGAAACTTGGCCTTGCTCGCAGAAGGGTGGGGCATGCAGGGCAGGGAGGAGGAGCTGAGGGTAAAACAGGAGAGGCAAGCTGGGGCCAGGCTGTGAGGGGTCTGGAACGTCCATTCCACATGAACAATGATGGACCGGCATAGATGTGGAATCATTGGAGATGAAGACCCAGAAAAGGCAAAAGCCAGGACCTAGACTTAGGTATCTGTAGAACGAACAGGGAATGTGGTGAGTCTTACAACCATAACCCTTGGAACTGTAGATCTCACATGGAGATAAGACATCAGAATCACCTGGGAAGAGTTTTGCAGAATACAAAGAGTCTCACTCTTCATTGATCCATCTGTACCTATCACAGTAATAGAACTCATTAAGTATTTACTAAGTTAGTGAGTGAACGTACACACCAAAAAACCTGGAAACATAATTGCTATGGATTAGCAATTAATTTCTGAAATACACTTTAGTGACTGCCTATGTGATCAATCCATGCTTAAGGTAACTCCTACTAAACTATATATTGTTCATTCCATGGGCTTAGTTCTTTTAAACTGATGCTTTTGTTGTCTTTATAAAATGTTGTGTTAATGAGCTTCACGCGTTATTTGGAAGAGAGATTCTTGATAAAAAGGGACCTAAGCAACATCTAAAACTCCCATCGTTGTGCTGAAGTATGGACAGAAATAATAACCATGCGTTAGAGCTGACCTGACCCGGTGACGCCTCCCCGCAGGGGTCCTGTTCCTCAGGAGCTCAGCTCCCCTGGATTTCTTTTCCACTGGAGTAAAACTGGAATGGTTTAGCCCAAGGAAAGAAACTGGCCCATTTAAGATTAGGTGTGGCATCTGCAGAAAGGCCCAAACCAAAAGTCGGTTTTCAGCAAGGACCATTCAAAACTATTAGGACCGGCCGGGCGTGGTGGCTCATGCCTGTAATCCAGCATTTTGGGAGGCCGAGACGGGTGGATCACGAGGTCAGGAGATCGAGACCATCCTGGGTAACACGGTGAAACCCCGCCTCTACAAAAAATAAAAAATTAAAAAAAAAATTACCTGGGTGTGGTGGCGGGTGCCTGTAGTCCCAGCTACTTGGGAGGCTGAGGCAGGAGAATGGTGTGAACCTGGGAGGCAGAGCTTGCAGTGAGCCAATATCAGGCCACTGCACTCCAGCCTGGGTGACAGAGTGAGACTCTGTCTCAAAAACAAACAAACAAAAAAACCTTTAAGACCGTTGACACATAACCTATAGCCAAGTGGGAACTAGCTCCGCTGTCTATCAGTTGTTCTGATTCATCAAAGCCACGTTCTCTAAGCCTGGATGTGAAAAGCAGCACCTTTCAGTGCTCCTCAGTTGTTTACCTTAACTCCATAACGAGGATAAAAAGCTAAGACATGGCCCTTGTGCTTCAGAAGCTTAGATTATTACAATATCATGAGTCCTACAAAAGAAGTTAAGAACCAGGGCTGTTAAAACACATGGGAGGGCCAACAACCCAAAGGCAGAGGATCAGAGAAGGCTTCCAGAAGAGAGGTGAGGCCTATAACTAGACTTAAATTATGGGTAGACATAGGCTGAGAAGGAAGCGAGACGTGCTCCACAGGGAGGAAGCAATGCGTGCAGCCAGCCCAAGGCCACGAGGCATGGAGGTATGTGGAGGGTGTGAGTCGGGACGGCTGGCAAGGTCATGAGGGTGGGGGCTGACAAGGGAGGAGGCGGCGTGGCGGCCAGGACCATATTGTACAGGACTCATGTAAGGCATTTAGCTTTTATCCTGAAGACAATGAAAATTCACTGAAGGGTTTTAAGCCATAAAGTGACATCAGTTTGCACATCTGGAGACTCACTATGGCTGTCTTATGGACAGTGGGTTAGAGGGGACAAAACTGGGAAAGCTCCTCTAGCTGCCAGGTGGTGAAAGAATTGGAGGGAACGTATGGATAATGCAGGAAGATTGGCTGCCGGGGGAAGGAGATGAGCTGGAATGCTCATAAGGCTTTTACTCAGCACCCAGTACAGGAAACTGAGGGTCTGAGGAGAGGTTTGGGAAGAGATACAAATGTGGAGGTTCTCAGGATAGTTGTTCTTTAAAGGAATCAGAAACTCTAATAGAAGCCAAACAGAAAAATGACCAGACAGAAGAGTCAAAAAAGTAGGGGGGAACTGGGAGTGTGTGGAAACACAGGAGTGCAAGGAGAACAGTGGTCCAAGAGAGACAGCAGAAACCACAGTTAATAATGCTCAAAGGTTGGGTAAGATGCAAATGGAAAAATCTCTATTGAAGGTCATTGCAGACCTTGAAAGGAGCAGTTCAGTGAATGGTCGGGGCAGACACCAGGCTAGAAGGGGTTGAAAAGTCAAAGGGTAAGCTTCCCATTAAACTCAGTGGATTGTATACCTGTATTTAGGACTCCTCTGTCCCCAAACTCCATTGGAATGATTGTAGATTAGAAATATTCATACATTTTTAGAAAATGGAAAACAAATGTAGATATAGTAACAGATTGGGCAAAGTAGAGGAAGCTGAAGCCTAGATGACTGCAGAGGGGAACAGCAAAGACGTGAACTAGGTAACCCACACTACAGAGAACTTGCAGGCTCAAAGGTAACAGGTACAGTGGAAGGCAGTGACTGAGGCTCAGGGCTGAACACAGAGGCTTGGCTATAAACTTGAATACCAAGTGGCTTCCCGGAACAACTTCATAACCCCGCTTCATCACGTGACTATTCCTTCCTAACCAGAAGTTTATTCTCTGCAAAACTGAACCAAAGAAGCTCTGGACTGAGGGACACCAGGCACAGTAAAAGGTGAGTGGAGTGAGATGCTTGATTGAAAAAAGAGGGTTCAGAGAAAGTCTGCACACCAGCCAGGAAGATCCCAACCCCTTGCTTCGCCGATCCTGCTCTCAGAATGCCGGCAGTCAGAATTACCTCTCTGGAGAGACTGATCCACAAATAATGACATTTAGGGATTTCCCCCCAAAAAGATAGCTCATCCTCTAATCACCTAAGTACCAGCTAACAAGTCCCTTCTCTGTATATAGTTTTTAATTATATTTGAGTACCTCCTTTGTAGGTTTTTGAGCCCCGGAGTTTAATATTTTGTGTGCACCCACTTTAAGAAAAACAAGAGTTCACAAAAGTGAAACTTGAGTTTTACTAGCTTTATAATAAATCTGCCTGTGGTCCCTTGCAAATATGGACAATCGAATTTTCATTAGACCATTAAGACACTTAGAGAAAAATAGATATAATGCAAGAAACAGATGAAAATGCTGCAAGTATATCATAAATATCTTAAAATTCATGAGAATTATTGCATCTATAAAATAAGAACAGAATGCTGTTTTTAAAAAATAATTGGAGAGAGGAAGAAAGAGAGCTTCGAAATTAAAAATGTGAGACACATAATAAAATTTGTTAGAAGAGCTAGATTAAAAAATAAAGAAGTTTTCAGCTGGGCGTGGTGGCTTACATCTGTAATCCTAGCACTTTGGGAGGCCAAGGCGGGTGGATTGCCTGACCTCAGGAGTTCAAGACCAGCCTGGGCAACATGGTGAAACCCCGACTCTACTAAAAATACAAACAAATTAGCCAGATGTGGTGATGTGCGCCTGCAGTCCCAGCTACTCAGGAGGCTAAGGCATGAGAATTGCTTGAATCCAGGAGGCAGAGGCTGCAGTGAGCCAAGATCACACAACTGCACTCCAACCTGGTGGAGACTCTGTCTCCATGAAAAACAAACAAACAAATAAAACAAAAAAGGTAAAGAAGTTTTCAAATAAACAGAACAAAAATACAAACAGAAAGAAGCTAGGAGAGAAAAGGTAAGATAATTCAAGGCTCAATCCAACTATCCAGTAGCTTCCTAAGAAAGGGTGTATTGGAGGAACTTTCGAAAGTGTATTCTTGTCAATCTGGAAATGTCTATTTTTCTCCATTACACTTGCTTGATAGTTTGGCTGGATATAGAATTTTAGGTTGGAAATCACTTCCCTTCAACACATTTTTCCAAATGTCTTCTAGCATCCAGGATTTCTGTGTAGAAGACAGATGCCATTTTAATTTCTGATCCTTTTTTTATGTTATCCCCCTGGAAACTCTTAAGATCTCTTTATTCCTGACATTCTGAAATTCCACACTTACATGCATTAGTGACAGTCTTTTGTCATTCATTATGTCAGGCATTCAGGGGCCCTTTCAATCTAGAAACTCTGAGAATTTTTTCCTGCATTACTCCTTTAATATTTTTCTCTCCTCTCTTTTCTCTGTTCTATTCTGTCATTGTGTTTGGGAAAAAATTTGGTAAGTGTACAACAAAGTATGGAAAAAAATAGTGATGGGCATGTAGAAAACTAAATACGTAGAGAAAAACAATTAATTCTGGTAAAAATAAGAGAAAACAACAAGTAAAGGAAATAATGAAATACAACTTGGCTCAGCAGCAAACATTTACATACTCGTGTAATCACAGTATGTCATATCATAATATATACACTAGCAATTGAATTTAAGAAGAAATCTGTAATATAATTATATTGACATGATAGATGGAGGACCAGTGAGACAGAGTTATAGGACAGCCAAATCCTTGACTTCCAAAACAGAAGTCAATAAGTCTAAAATTTATGAATGAAGGAAGAGCAGTAGAAGCATATTATTTAAAAATCACGTAAGAAGAAATAGTTAACCAGATTGAAATTGACTGCCAATGAGAAATAGGAGTAGGGATGGAGCAAGGTAGGTCAAGGAACTACTGTTGTTTCTTTATAAGCCTCTAAGTAATCATTTAAGTATACGCATACATTCGTTTAATAAAAGTAAATTTTAATTTTTAAAAACTATAAACAAGAAGTTAGGAATTCAGAACACCATGTATAAACTGACACTTGAAGAAATTTTAGCTGGGAAGGAGGTAGTTCTAACAAGAGAAGCCAGACTGCCTGGGTTCAAATCCTAGACTCCACCAGTCCTGAGCCAGGCAACCCTGGGCATGTTGCTTAACCACACTGAGTTTGAGATCCCCCTCTTTGATTGGAGGTAATAACTTCACAGGTTGTGAAAATTAACTGCGTTAATTTATGAAAAGCTAAGGTCTTAGTAAACGCTGGCTGTTTATGAAGGGAAGCAGAGAAATGAACAGTAGCTAAAAGAAGAGATGGGGCTGAGGGAAAGCTCTGTTTTTGTTTTCATCTGGAACATGCTAGATGGGATATACTACAGTCAATGTGCATGCCGGTGGAGTGGGATTAATACTTTAGAGATAGAGGGATGACGTTGGAGAAAAGGCCAGAGAACTGGAAAGATAAAGTTCTTGTTTAGGGGACAGGGAGACAGATCCGCAGCTCACAGGGATCGATGGCTCTGTTGGGGCAGGAAGGGGGACATAGGATGAAAGTAGAGACACCCAGGCCTTGCGAGATGTGTCATTCTCCTCTCCTCAGGTGAACAGGGGCCTCAGCACTCCCTGGCTTGTGTTCAGAGCCCACAGGGCAGCCAGCCTTCCTCAGCTGTCACTGGGTATCATTATTTTGTCACCAAAAGGCAGGAGAATACCAATACTCCAACTGCCATTTTGTCACAGGGCTTAGAGTCGTGCACCAAGGTATGTTGCTTTCTCAGTAACTTACGAAAAGGTTTCCGTCTTTGAGTTTAAAAATACAATCAATTTTCATGAATTCTCAATAAAGTAAATTTCCTGCTGATAAGCAAGAACAAAATTGCATTGAATTACCAAATATGTCATTTCTGGAAAATGTGTCGGTATAGATGGAAGTCATTTTTGACCCCCTGAGACATGGGAGCTATGATGCCATCTCTACTTACCCTGCAAAAAACCAGTCAAAGGTATTCCCAGCCCCAGAGCCCTAAGGGCGGAGCCAGGTGAAGCATAAGAGAATCTAGATTCTCACAGGGGAATCTGCACAGCAGAGCTCCCATCCCAGGACACATGTGCTGTTCCAGGAAGCAGGATGAACAGCATGCTGGACTTTTCGTCTCTAACAAGGGAGAGAATAAAATGGCCCTCACTTCATCCTCTCGTGGTTTCCTACTTATCTACGGAAGACACCAGCATTCCATCCACATGGAACTCCAAGGCAGACTCCTGTTACTCCCTTATCCCTGACATCTGTCAGTCACTCATCCCTATCATTCATTCATTTGTTCAGCCCATATTTATTTTCATCACCTGTGATAAGCCAGGCACTCGGGTGGGTGCTGGTGAGACAATGTGAGCCAAAGAGCCACAGCCTCTACCCTGGAAGTGCCCGTGCCCCCACCTTGCAGATCCTGCTTCCCCCTACACTGCCACAGCCCTGTGTCAAGTGACCTCACCCCTTTCTGCACTCCTCTAACAGGCTCCTCCCGTCCATCTTCCTCCTGAGGGCCATCTCCGTTCTTCACTCTGCAGCCAGCGTGAGGCTTCTGAAAGTCGACATCTGAATTGTGTCACTACCTTAATAAAAACCTCTTAAATGCTTCTGGGATGAACTCCAAACTCTTTAGTGTGCCCTGTAAGGCCCTTCCAGACTGGGCGCTCTCTGCACACGCTGATCTCCTCCCTCAACCCTCCCTTTGCCCTTGATGCTCTGCTCTTGCTGAAGTTCTTTTAGTTCCCGAAATGTTCCTCCAGGGCCTTCAATCCTGCAACAACACTCTCCCCTCCCTCTTTGCTTGGCTCATTCCTCTTCATCCTTTGGGCCAGGCAGGGAAGCCTTTCCTGACCCCCCATCCCACACTAGGCTGGATGTCCTCCTGTATGCCCATAGCAACTCTCATTTCCCACAAGGTGCACCTTTTGATACTTGATGGTTTTTATTTGCAAAATGGCCTGTTTCCATGCCTGGACTTTGAGTTCCTTGAGGGAGAAGAACACACGCATGCTGCCGAACACCGCAACTCCAGCGCCTACTACATGACCCGGCAAAAAAAAGGAAAACAAACGTGTTTACCTTTCGATCTGTCCACAAAGTCTCTCTTAGTAAGGGAAATAAACTGATTTGATAGTGCCTTGTTAACTTCTTTCATTGAAGCAGGGATTTTCCAAGGGAGGCTGTTCTTTAGTGTCCTCATTTGTTGACCGTGAGGTAGCGTCCACGGGAAAACGCCCTATCAAAGCAAACACAATTTTCAAGAAAATCTATATGGGCTCACCTAATAGGATCAATAATCTGAGTGTCTGTGTGCACATATTCTTCAGAATCCTTTACAACCAGCTGCCACTGCAGGTGCGTGGATGCAGGGAGCTGGTGAACAGGAGCCATTGGTTGACCTAGCTGAAACACAGGCTCTGTACATTTCTTTGACTTTTCACATTGAAAATGAGAAAATAAGATTGAAAACTTCAAAGAGTGTGCTTCCAACCAGAAGTCTCCTACAGATAAGACCAGGGGAAGAAATAACCCGTGTGAATTCTAGTTCTGGCCATTCCCAAGGAGCACAGGCAGTGACTGCTTTCCCCTTGGGAGCCCCTGAGGAAAACCCTGCCTCACATGCAGAGGCCTCAGCAACTTCCTGGAGGACAGGGAAAGGCCAGCACTCTCTTCTCACCTCCAAAGAGATTTTAGGATGATAAAACTTGAAACCTCCACCTCCTCTTGCCATCGTCCCTCTTTCCCATGATCTTGCTTCCTATTTCCCTGAGAAAACTGAAGCCACCAGAAAAGAACTTCCACAGGCCACCAACCGTGTCCCAGCCACTGCAACTGCACTCACACATGCTGTGACGGGAGGGGAGCTGCAGGTGCCCTCAGCAAGGCCCAGCCCTGCCTGCAGCACCAGATCCCTCTCTACTGAGTCTACTCCAGCAAATCGCTCCAACAATCCTCACTTCTCTCTTGCAACTTGAATCTCTTCCTTTCTGCTGGGTCATTGCCGTCAGTATCCAAGCATGCGTTTATTTCTCCTATCTTAAAAAGAAAGCCCTCTCTTCACTCTACTTCCCCTTCTAGTTACTAAGCTATTCCTAGTTTCCCTTTGCACCAAAATTCTTCAAAATAGTTAGGTATACTCACTGTCCCAAATTTGCCTCTTAAATCTCTTTTAATTTTCAAGTTCTCTCTTGATCCCCTTCTTTCCCTCACAATTTATCAACTGGAAAAACCAATATATAAAATTATAATTTATCTATTGAAGAAGTCATTAGATGTGCAGAGGTCCCCACAGTCTGGATTTTGTTGATTGCGTATGCATTGTTGTTTAACAAGTTCCTCTGTCCCCTATATTTCCTGCAAATTGGCAGGTGGATCCAGAGACTCAAATTCACCAAACTAGAAGTCAAGTGTGTCTAATCTGCAGCCCCATCCAGGACGGCTTTGAATGTGGCCCAACACTAATTCATAAACTTTCTTAAAACATTATGAGATATTTTTGTGATTTCATTTTTTAAAGCTCATCAGCTATCATTAGTGTTAGTGTATTTTATGTGTGGCCCAAAGCAATTCTTCTTCCAATGTGGCCCAGGGAAACCAAAAGATTAGGCATCCCTGAATAAATGGTGTTTCACAAGGCTGTAGGAGGCAGATAATATATGATTGTTTTTCTTGTGTAATGTTAGCCGTTGTTAACATTCAATGCCTAGATTAAGAGGAGCTGCCGTCTGGCATTTGAACACTCATTGACTGAGAACACACAGGACGGTCTGCCACACTAGCTCTCATTGGCTGAGAACAAGATAGTCTGCCACACTAGCTCTCATTGGTTGAGAGCCTTCAATAGTACTTAGAGGAAGGGAAAAGTATATGGTCGTGTGTTTGTGGGTGTATGAATACTGTATAGTATTGTATACATACAGTATAATATTGTAACCAACTCTTTTGCATTAATTGTAAAATATAAAGGATGACTAAGCATAGTGTCTCATGGCTGCAATCCCAGGGCTTTGAAAGGCCAAGGTGGAAAGATTGGTTGAACCCAGGAGTTTGAGAACTGCCTGGGAAACAGAGTGAGATTCCATCTCTGCAAAAAGTAAAAAATTAGCTGGGCATGGTGGCACGCACCTGCACTTCAAGCTACTCTGGAGGCTGAGGTGGGAGGATCACTTGAGTTCAAGAGTTCAAGTCTGCAGTGAACTCTGATTGTGCCACTGTACTTCACCCTGGGCCACAAAGCAAGATTTTGTCTCTAATAGATATGATTATATGTAATAATACATTATGTTAGAGACATATTTATATATTATAAAAATCAATACAGCAACACACAAAAAAAAAAATTATATAATACTATATAATATACATATAAAATTTATATACTATATATAAATTTATAAATATACCTACCGTTTTTAGAGACAGGAGTTTTATGTATATATCTCCAGGAGATATATACATATATATGTGTGTATATATACACATATCTATGTGTGTATATATATGTATAAATCTATACATTTTTTTCAGGGTTGAATAGGTTACAATGAATGGATAACACAAGGAACCAAATTGAATCGGCTATATGTGTACATTCTAATGACTTCCAAGTCCATATGTCTAGCTCATCTCTCCCCCATGAGCTCCACATCTGTCTATTAAACTGCCAGTTGGACATATCTTCAACCAACATGTCTTCAACTAAAACTACATGTTCCCCCAATGCCCTTCTCCACCCAACCTAGTCCTCTACCATGTTCCAGCTGAGTAAACAGCATCTGCATATGCTTAGCTGTCCAAGTCAGAAGTTGAACATTATACTTTCCTCTTCCTTATCCTTTGCATCCTTTTAGTCATCAAATCCTGTTCATTCTATGCCTTATCATCTATTGAATGCATCAAGGTGGCTCCATCCTAGGTGGTCCCATCCCACATGGCAGTCAAGTAAATGATACCCTTTACTACAACCAAGCATTGCCTTTTGTGATGGGAGAAGGGAACAGAAAGCCAAGAAAACATACAGGGAGAATCAATTATTTCCATCCAGGGGAGAAGGGCTTTCTTTAATCTGAGTCTCAAAGAAATATAGGGATTCCCTTAGTGCACAGGAAAAGGGCATTCTAGGTAGAGGAAACCGAATGATCTTAAAAATGGAGGTTTGAAAGTGCACGAAACATAAGGCTAAGCACAAATACTTGTACATGGCTGTTCACAGCAGCACAATTCACAATAGCCAAAAAGTGGAAACAATCCAAAGATGCATTAATGGATGCATGGACAGACAAATTGTGGTTTATCCATGGAAGGGAATATTATTCAACTGTGACAAAGAATTGGAAGTACTGATATTTGCTACACAGATGCTACATGGGTAGTCTTCATAATAGTGCTTTTCCTGTCATCTTTCTAGTCAGATAATTTCTTAGCTGATGAACCTTGAAAACATTATGCTAAGTGAAAAGAAGCCAGACACGAAAGGTCACCCATTCCACATAAAATGGGTGGAATTCCACACCTATTCCATCTAAAATATCCACAAAAGGTAATCCACAGAGGTAGAAAGCAGACGGTGGGGAATGGAGTTGGGGGTAATTGCTTAATGGGTATGAGGTCTCCTTCTAGGATGATGAAAATGGTTTGGAACAAAAAAAGAAGTGACGGCTGTCCAACAACATGTATGTACTAAATGCCACTGAATTGTTCACTTTAAAACGTTAATTCTATATTATGTAAATTTCACTTCAATTTTTAAAAAGTCCTTTTTTAAAAAAAAAACTCCAGGGGATAGAACGTAAGTGGTTAGAAATAAATGTGGGACGGTAGACAGGAAATAGTCTGAAAAGAACCATGTATCCTGTAACTGTAGAAGCTGAAAGATCTTTGTGACATATTTAAACTCTCATTCTTATGGGTTGTTGATACAGTATTAAATTCAACACATATGTAGATATTATCTTACTTCATTGAGATGAGATTTGTGGCTCTTGATTCCTCTCGAAGGCTCAGTTTTGATCAAATCTTCTTTGGAGTATGATTTCCAAGTGTACTCATCATTGTATTGTGTCTGATTGAGAATAGGATCACTAAGTGAATATGTGTATCCTAATCTTCTGATACCGTTTTGGCTACAAAAAAAAAAAAAAAAAAAAAGCCCAGCAGAAATTAGAGTTAGAGGTTAAATACCAAATCTCACAAAAGTACCCATGTCAAATCATTTTACCCCTTACATTTCTTAAAAAGATAGATTGACATAAGAGTTGATGCCAGAACTAATTTAATTTCAGGTTTTCCTTGAAGGAAAACAATGCTGTATTTTAGGATGGCTTTTAACAAAAGTACAGAGGCCTAAAATAAAATTAAAAAACATAACAATATGAAATTTACTTCATTAATTTTTTAAAGAGCTGAACACTCTCCAGTACAAATGGCACTTCAGTGTAACCAAATAGCTGGTGAAGAAAAGCTTCTCTCTATAGAAATCTTCCATCTGATAAAGGGAAGACATATAAGAATTGAAATATCACTAGTTTCAAGCCCCTAATGAAATAATGAATCTAGGCAATGACCAGCAGTGTGTACTCACAGCTCCAAAAGAGGACCACCAGACAGTATGAGCTTCTGAGTGAATACATGCATTGCCACTTATTAAATATCTTTGCCAAAATGCAGAACTTGAATCAGATGAAGTCTTTACAATGTTGGATTACAGGAAATACATGAAAAGAGAAATCATTTACATGGCATCATGGAGATTAAAAAAAAAAAAAAAAAAAAAAGTCCCAAAACAATGATTCTGTTTGTTCAACAGTGAATTTGTCAGAAAAAAAAAAAAAAAGGTTCTCTCTCTCTCTCTTTTTTTTTTTTAAGATTAAATGAAATAAGAGACATAATAACCAAATGAAATGTATGGACCTTTCCTGGATTCAATTTCAAACCACTGCCTTTATAAAAAAAAAGTTATGAGACAATTGGAGAGATTTGATTGCTGATTGGCCATTTGATATTAAGGAATTGGTTTTCTTAAAGGTGAGATAATAGTATTGTTACAATTTTTAAAACATTTTTTATCTTTTAGAGATACATACAAAATCTTTAGAATTGAAATGATACGACGCCTGGGATTTGCTTCCGCATACTCCTGTGGGAAGGATGAGTGGAGGGTGCAGACAACAGTAGCTAACGAGCGATGATTGCTGTTGCTGGCTCGTAGTGGGGGATTCCTTGTATGTTCCTTTGTGTATGTTCAAAATATTTCATTTTGACTTATCTTTAAAAGAGGGCTAGACAGATTCAGATTATCTCTGTAAGAAACAAATATCTGGGATGTTGGAAACAAACATCCGGATGATCATTTATTGTCATTCAGATATAAACTGGAGAGTTTCCAAAGGGAGAGGATACAGCACAAACAACTGTTTTTTTTTGTTGTTGTTGTTGTTTTCGGTTTTTTTGTTTTTTGTTTTTTTTTTTTGAGACAGAGTCTTGCTCTGTTGCCTAGGCTGCAGCGCACCGGTACCATCATAGCTCACTGCAGCCTCAAACTGCTGGGCTCAATCTATCCTCCCACCTCAGCCTCTCAAGTAGCTAGGACTTACAGGCATGTGCCACCATGCCCGGCTGATTTATTTTTTATTTTTGTTTTTTGAGATGACGTCTCATTATGTTGCCCAGGCTGGTCTTGAACTTCTAGCCTCAAGCGATCCACCCGCCTCAAGTAGCTGGAACTACAGGTGCATGCTACACGCTGGGATTACAGCCGTGAGCCACCACACTTAGCCACAAAAAGCTTCAAAAGAATCAATTTTCAGATCTCAATTTCTCAATATACTCTTTCCTAGAACATATCCGCCTGAGAACAAACCCGCAAATGTATGTGGGTTCTTTCTTCCTACACCCCTTGCCTGATTCTCTCTTCCCCATTTCACCACAGGCTCTTTCTATGGTGCATTGCCTCGAGGAATAAGCCTCCAACCATGAGGGGGGCCTCCGGTGAAGGGAAACATGGTCGGAGTGATTTCAGAGACACCTCCTTGTAATCCAATCTCCATTTGGAACCACTTGCCTGGGCTTGTGGTTCTCAATGTCATGTGTATTTCTAGAGAGTGAAGGGCTGTGCTATACCCAGGGTACTAGTTCTTTGTGGGTGGCTCTGAATTTAGGTATGTCATAGAGCATGGCTGAGAGGAATGTCTGGTTTTCTATCTCCTAACAATTACAAAACGTTCACATCCTTTTAGGGAGAGGCCTCTGAGAGAAGAGCAGAGGATGCAGAATGCTTAAAATGACTCCTTTCCTCCCACATTTAAAGATAGGCATTTATCAGCTTATCTCTAGGACATGCCATTAGCTGGAAAGAAAAGCAGCTTTGAGGTGGTGAAGCAGCACAGGTTGGTCACAGTGATTACTTTAAATATAACCAGAATCTTGCCTTTTTTTTTTTTTTTTTTTTTTTTTTTTTTTTAAGACAGAGTCTCACTCTGTCACCCAGGCTGGAGCAACCTCCACTTCCCGGGTTCAAGCAATTCTCCTGTCTCAGTCTCCCGAGTAGCTGGGACAACAGGCACATGCCACCACTCTGGGCTAATTTTTGTATTTTTAGTAGAGACGGGGTTTCACCATATTGGTCAGGCTGGTCTTGAACTCCTGACCTCAGGTGACCCACCTGTCTTGGCCTCCCAAAGTGTTGGGATTACAGGAATGAGCCACCATGCCCAGCCCAGAATCCTTTACGAGACAGCAAATTTTTAAAGATACACTAGATAAAACTGACAAATAGGAATCTTGTATTTTTTTTTTCAGGTTTTATATTAATCATTCAATAAAGTATTTAAATTTTATTCTGAATCCAATCATGTTACAAAATACTCCAATACAGTCAAGTTTCATTTTATTTTATGTTGCAAAATATTTAACAATAAATGAAAGTATAGGCTGACCTGCCAGACCAATTTTAATTTTCACTATATGTAACTTTCTTTCATTGAATACTAGTAAATATTTGATTTGATGTCTGATGAAATTAATAAAATTGTTTCTGTTTTTACACATGATAAGTATTTAATCATTCCCAAAAGGAAAGCAGCAGAATTCTATATACATGAGAATATATTTAGGAAACATCATGCTTTTTATTATACTCTTCACAAACAACTTATACATTTATCTACACATTTTATTGCATTATTTTTGGATACAATGCAATGAAATGTATAGCTAACTGTATAAGTTACCTGGATATAATTAATCATATCAGACTCAAATCTTTTAACACTTCTCTTGTGTACTTTTAATTGTCTTCTCTACAATATGCATTCCATAATTTATTTTTCAGTGGTTTTTATAATATTCTCAAAACATATATTAACATTTATTTGAATTGAAAGTGTAACTAGATTTTATTTGGACAGGAAATAAACCTGATTTTACTTATGGATTTGAACAACAAGGACTGATTTTACGAACTAGGTAAAGATGGTATAAACTGTATAAGCTAAATGTTCAGCTCCAAGATTTTGATAAAAATATATTCAAAGTATGATAAAAGCCTTTTATGAAAAAAAGTTTGTATGATAAAAATTTATTAAAATTTGTGTTTCCATTTTCCAAATCCTTTTTGAATATAGAAAATTAAACAAGTTGCTGCCAAGTGAAATAGTAACAGGTGCAATTTAATAGTCATGTGTTAAGATGTGTCTTTTCAGCATATTCTCAGAAACTGAGATAGGGAATAACTCAATGACTGGATGATAAATCATCTTATTAATTGCTTTCAGCAAAATTGAAGGAGTACTCAAACCAAGCTGTCAGCTGATCAGTCATTAAAAATCACATTGTGATTTCTGGGACATAATTCAGAAAGAGTTCAGAGTACTGAGTGACACTGCTATACTAAAACTCCTTTAATTTGCACCTACTTATTTAAATATATATATATATATGAACAAGGTTTCTTAACATTAGAAGCAGAAAAAAGTGATGCTGAGTGCAGTTGCATTCTAAAAATAACAACACTCAAAACTAGATATATGAACTAATTGAAAACTAAACAGCCACATTTATCTCATTAAGATGCAGTTGCAAAAAAATTTACTTTTTATATTTCATAATTATGAGCATTTATAATGTATTTATTGCTTTGAGCAATTGTGTACTAAAATAATTGTGATAACTCTATACTTAGGGTCATATAACATGTTTAAAAATTAATTTCAATTAATATACTAAAATAGTTGCAAAGAAGTATAATAGAGTTATCAATAAATTGCTTTCAAACATAAAATATATTACAGCAGGGAAAAATTCTATGGAGGAAGTGGAGTGGGAATGAGAGTTCAAGAAGAGAAAGAAATGAAATAAATGATCAAAGAAGAGTTTATTTGTGTGTTTATTTAAAAGATCATGGCAGGTATTAATTTGCTAAAGCATTCAGAGTATTCATTGGTTTTACTGAAAAGTTTTATTTTAAAATGTCAATATGTAGGATGGGGAGGAAGTTTAATCTTTTGCAGTTATTTAAATTTACGTTGACATTTGACAAAGCCATCATACAAAGACTCTCTACAACCAGGGAACTTATACAGAGTCTTCACACCTGAAAGCACCAAGAGCCAAATTAGGCTACAACAAACTATAAACATTAAGGTCACATCCTTAAGGGGGGAAAAAGAAATTTTAAAAAATCAAATAAAAAATAAATTCAAGAATAATTAGAATAAATAGTCTACCCAAATGAGAAGGAACCAAAAAAATAATTCTGGCAATATGACAAAACAAGGTTCTATAACATCCCTGAAAGATCACACTAGCTTTCCAGCAACAGATCTAAACTAAAATGAAATCTTTGAAGTACCAGATTAAGAATTCAAGAGGCTGATTATTAAGCTACTCAAGGAGATACCAGAAGAAGGTGAAAACCAACATAAAGAAACTAAGAAACAACTCAGGATATGAATAAAAAATTTTCTAAAGAAATAGATTTTTAAAAATCAGAACTTCTGGAAATGAAAGACACATTTAGAGAATGACAAAATGCAGTGGAAAGTTTTAACAGACTAGAACAAGTAGAAGAAAGAATTTAAGAGCTAGAAAACAAGGCTTTTGAATTAACCCAGACAAAAATAAAGAA